TATAAGTGATTTAAGGTAATCAAACCTTAGTAGAATGCTGAGGTGGTTTTTTAAGTTTGTAAAATGTTAGATGAGTGCAAATGATCATTATGGCAATAGAATTAGAATTCCATTGCTCTGGGTCCTCATTTAAGTGCTCAGTCCTTCATGATATGGAATTCCTAAAAAAGTGGAATTTTGTCCTCTTCAGATTATCAACTGTCTCAGACTTACATGTGTTCAGTTTCTTGATGTTTATAGTCCTTGGAAATTGAAGTGAGCGCTAAAGTGTTTCATCACATCTTCATCATTCTCTAAAAAGAACAAACACAATGAACAGTAAATTCTTCCACACGGGCTGTCCTAAACTTTATTATTAATTGTTATTATTTATATTGCAGTAACACCTAGAACTGCCAACCAGATCAATGAATTCCCTAGTTTACCATTAAGGCAAGATCCCTGTGTGAAAATCTGTCGTGATCATAGTTTAAGAACTACCTCACCAATTTCTTTCAAACTTGACTTGTCCTTTAGATTTCTTCTGATCTACAAGAACATTTCTAAGTAAAAGCTTTTCGACATTTTGACTTGCACATGTTCAAACTCTGTGACTGGAATATTAAAAAATGCAGCTTTATCTTACTCACCTTTCATTTATCACTTTTCTTTGATTGTGAGCTCATTGGAATAGGATTCTGGGACAGAACTTAAAAGGTATTTAGATGCCTGAAGATGCAGCAAGGCACCCTGAGGAATTTTCAAAAGTGCCATGGTGCCTAACATCCTTTTATCTCACTTTATTTGAGGAAATTATAAGAAAGAAAAGAGGAGGGAAAGAAGAAGAGGCTACAATAGAAGCCACCCCCACATTCAGAAGTTATTGTATGGAGTAGACATGTAGGGTATGTCTAGACTGTATCCCTCTGTTGGTAGAGGGATGCAGATTAGGCAGGTCAACATTGCAAATGAAGTGGGGATTTAAATATCCCATGCTTAATTTGCATAAAAATGGCTGCCGTTTTTGCTGACTCAGCCCTTTGTTGGCAAAAAGCAGCAGTCAAGAGTGGGATCTGTTGAGAAAGAAAGCCTTTTTCGACAGATCCTGAAAACCTCCTTGCAGGAAGCATAAGGGATCTGTCAAAAAAGGCTTTCTTTCTTGACAGAACTCCCTCTAGATTGCTGCTTTTTGTGCACAAAGTGCTGAGTTGGCAAAACGGTGGTCATTTTTATGAAAATTAAGCGCAGGACATTTAAATTCCCGCTTCATTTGCAATGTTGATCTGCCTAATCTGCATCCCTCTACCAACAGAGGGTTGCAGTCTAAACATACCCGTATATTGTTAATGATATTGCCTTACATTTTCAAATGTGAATAGTGTTTTTTTGTCAGTGATGACTGATGCCTGCCAATAGGGGAGGGGCAGAATGAGGGTAGATGTCTTCAGCAATGGTATTGAACTTGTTCAGTACAAGCCAAGCAGCAAATCTGAGGGAGGAAGGAAGTAATTCACATGCCTCCGCATGTTTCCTTTTGTTTTGGGACACAGCTTGAGCCTGATGCATAGAAAATACCTGACCTCTGAAAAGCAAGTTGTTGGATGTATCTCAAATTGAGCACCCAAAATCACTAATGACTTTTGAAAAATTTGGCCACACACTAAAATTAAAATGTAGAATGGATATTTCTCATAATTCTTTAGGATACAAACCAACTACCACTTGCTTGGGTGTATGAAGAGACTTATGGCAATGGCATGTCATTGCATAATTGTTCATTATGTGAAGGTCTTCAAACTTGTGTCTGAAGAACGTGGTACTGACTACTGTGGGAAAACATTAATGGGCAAGTACAGTAAATCTTACATATTTGTAAACCAGAGGTGCTGAGACCACTGTCACGGGAGAGTGAAGAGAGGAAATTGGCTTTTAGCTCATGCATTAGAGAAACATGGTTTTAGCCCCTAAGATTGCAGTTTCAGTCCCTCCTGCTGATGACCCAGGTCTGTCGGCTTTACATATTTACAGTCACAAACACAAATATGCTTTATCAGAGACCCAGCTGTGAATGTTGTGTGTCTTGTTTCAAATTAATTCAAGTAAACTTACAATAAACATTCAGCATTATTGTCTCAATTATATGAAGACACAAAACAGTATTTGGCTATTCAGAATTCCATGTGATGCGTGTATAGTGTTTTTTGTCAGATGTCTTGCTACTGAAACAGGAGATTTATAGGCCCAGATCAATGAAATCAATGGCTGTTAGGAGCCTAAATACCTTGATAATCTAAGCCATAGACTTTCCTACCATGCACGTTAATTTCTGATCAAGCTGTGTTGTGTAGTGGGGTTTTAACCCTTTCTAACTTGCTAGGTATGTTTGTTCACCCTCTTTCATCTAATTTTTCACTCGCTAATTTTAATATCTTCCTCACCATCTTTGTACTTTTATTATCCTTGCTAGATTTTCTTCTCAACTAGGCTTTTAGATCTGCTTTACTATGGATTGAATCTTCCTTCACCCACGACCCATGTACAGAGACAGTCTGTATGTGTTGCTCTTTCTTCTTGTTTGGAAGTAGGGGTCACCTTTGCAGTAGCATTCTTTTTCTTCCATACCGTTTGGATGATGCCCCATGAGTCCACACTGAAAGAGATGGCAGACATTTGGAAGCCTGGGGAAGGAATAAGAAGCTTGGTTTGAGGTTGGAACACATATCCTCTTCCAACCCTTGGCGATTCCTCAAAAATAATAATTCAGTCTAGGGCTGCGGTAACTTATTCAGGGGATCCAGGAGCAGCTATTACCAGTGGATGGGGAAAAACTGGTAAAAGGCTCCAATCATGGTGTAATACCAGGAATCACTTGGACTGAAGTGGGGATATGGAAGTGGAGACACTATTAGCCTAAGCTGATGGAAGTGGCACAAAACCTACCATGGATTCCTGGAGATCAGATAGGTTTGAGTTTGTACTTCTGGTTTAGTCCTTGGAAAGAGACAAACACTGCCTTCTCTGCTGGAACACAGGGCAAGAACTCCTAGAGAAAGTCTTATTTACTTCTACAGGCTGAGGACTTTTAAGAGCTCCATGATTTTTGAATACTTCATAAATATCATTTTCTTGCGGCAAAATTTCTTAAACTCCCCCCAAACTATTGCTCAACAATTAAATGTTTCTGTCTTCCTTAAATTCTGAGTTTGAAATCCTGCCACAATACCCTTTGTAAATGTTTATATTAGTTCAGTTCCCTTCCTGTTTTCCATTATTTTATTTGTTCTCTGATTGTGAGTGTTATAGGTAGTACTTTGTGCTAGTTCTAATTTCTTTTACCTATCTAATCTATGTAGTTAACTCAACTGATCCATCAGATTCCTCCTAGTGTATGTGTGTGTTCCAATTTCACTTTTTTCCCCATCACAAGATTCATGTAGTTTTTTATATAATCTTATTTACAAAGTCATGTATCTCTGAATGTTAAATACTTTGCTTTTGAAAAGCATTTTGTCTGAAAAACAAAGCATAGGTTTATTCTCCTATTAATGCATGAAGGCACTTTGGGAGAGAAATTCCCATTAGCATTAGTAATAGCTATACATGTTAAATCTTGCTCAACAATAGACACCTACTTGCACCACCATTTATTGATTGTGTTCCTCCTCTAATAATAGTAATCTGACTAAACATCCAGTACATTGCAGATCTTATTAATAATAGTGTTTTATATAACATATTAGAATAAAAACTAGCCAAAATGTTAAATGCATAAACATGAATGGCCAAATCCTGAAGTCCTTGGTCTGTCTTTGCTCTATCTTTACACACGCACAACCATTCTAGATGTTAACGGAAGTTCAGTCCAAACAGGGACTGAGTAAAATCTGGATAAGGATTCCATGTTTAATTACCCTGGGCATAGTATCCCGTTGGTTAATACTACTCATATCTCCTACTTAGTTGCCCTTTAGGGAGGGCAAGGGGAGGGAATGACATTGATCAAAGAGACAATACTGTAAACTTCACTAAGCAAGACAAGTCAGAATCTATTTCAGGGGTAAATATAAGATGCTTAGAGCATTGGAATTTACAACTGATGGCTGAGCTCTCTGCTATTTTTGATGAGTGATCTGCATAAGTTAGGTTTCATGGAGTAGGATGTTTAAATCTCTCTTCTCTGTGCAACTGGAAGTTAACTAGGGATATTAAATTGATCCTCCTTGTATAGATATATTTATTAATAAACAAAATAATTAATAACAGTAATAGACACAATAACATAAAATAAACAATAATAAATACAATAAAATAATACAATAATAATAATAATTTGTAATATGGTAGCAACTAAGGACCCTGGTCATGGATCACTGCTCCATTGTCACAGGCATTATATAAACAGATAAAAAGATGGTCCTTGCCCCACAGGGCTTATATCTCAGTGTACAATTTAAGAGATAAATGTGAGATTCTATGGTCTTAATTGGCATTTGGAACATATAAATATTAGAAGATTCATAGGACTGAAATACCATATTTCTGCTTACATTTTCTGATCATCTACAAAATTGATCACTTAAAATAATTTATTCTCAATTGAAGGGTGACATATATTTGAATTTTGCTACTAAAAAGACACAGATGAATTGATCATAAGGACTAACTGACATAGATCTTTCACTTTTGAGATTTTTAACGAATCACTAGTATTTCTACCCTTTAAAATGCAAATACAAATGAATGAGGAATAATTCTAATAACCATCTATTTTCTTTATTGAAGATCAGCCATTATAAATGTAAACAATAGCACAATTCAACATTTAGGAAGTCCTTCCTTTCTCTTACTAAAGAATTGAATAGTCCTCACTAAAACAATCCATTATCTATTTTCTTTAAAATTTTAATGCACAGGTATGTGAAAATTGTTTAAAAGATTGAAATGTCAAAAATATCTTATTGACAAATGAAGTCTGTGAGTTCAAATCCATAAATGAACATGAGTTTTGTGTCTAAATTTGGAGAATATCTCTCTCCCACCTAGTTTGGCAGAATTCTTCACAGCTAGCGGAGACCTATGTCTTGAACAATAGCATTAACATTGAAACTGACTGATCAGTAATAGGAAAACTAGGTCAAATCATCATAGAATCACAGAAATGTAGGGCTGGAAGAGATTTCAAGATGTCATCTAGTCCAGCCTTTTGTGCTGAGGCAGCACCAAATAAACAGTCCATCCTGATAGGCAGAAAGGAATCTTGAGAAAAACTCTGCTCTCATGAGATATTGTGCCAGATTTCTAGGCTGAAAAGGGTCAGATTCATTTTGGAGGAGCAAACAATTGGCTGATTTCCCATTACTTGCACTGGCAGAACATGGTGAGGAAGTTGTACCATGTCATTGCTTCAGTCATTGCTGTCACTGTATCAGTAAAATCAAACAAATGTGATTTTTAGTTTTCAACAATCACTTTAAAATAGGATCCAATACAGAAGTCAGGGTTGGGCCTGCAGGTAGTAAGCATTGATTTTATTCTGTAAACCACTTTGTAGTTGTATTTTCTAAAAAGCAGCATAGTCACACAATAACTGTAAATCACTGAATACCATTTCAGGTAACCTTATGCATAAGTATTCTTATAACATCCCATAGTATCTCTAAGTCACATTTTTAAAAAACAATATGTGATGGAAGTGGAACTGACAAATTAAAGGACATCATTCATACTGAATCACGGCTCTTTCCAGGAAAGCCATGTATCAGGAGATGACTAAGGAGGTATCAAATGTGTGAGTTTGCCAATGAGACCTAGTGATGTGCCAAAAAAGAGTCATAATATTAGGAACAAAGAGAGAAGCTCAGATTCTTTAGCAATGCTCATTACTGACAGAAAAGGAGTTAGCTTTCACAAAGAAGAGAAGGAATCCATCTTCTTCCCTTTGACAGGAAATTTCAGGAAGTGTTGGAAGGAGTCACTGAAGCAGAGGTCTCTCTGCATCACAAGGTGCAAGGCCCATGTTAGACAATATTCAGTTCTGCACCCATTAAAAGGAAATCTTTGGTGCTGGATAGCTCAGGTGAGTCATAGATTTTAAGACTGAAAAAGACACTCTGATAATTTAATCTGGCCTCCTGCATAATACCCAGAAACACCCAAGGCAGAATTTCATTTAGAAAGACTTGACAAGTATCCAGTCAACCTCAAGATTTGCCACATACTTTCTGAATTATCTTAGGAAAGTCACTTGTTCTTTCTGTGCCTTAGTTGCCCAATTTGAAAAATGAGGATAATCACCCCATCTCATTTAGGAGTTATGAGGAGAAACAAATTCATGTTTGCAAGGCTCTCATACACTAGTAACTAGCATGATGGAGAATTAAAGGTAGGTAAAAGGCATTGTCATAAGTTGCTCATCAAAGGTGTTTATTATTATTTGTTTTTTTCATATTATTCTCCACTCCCATGTACAAGAATAATTTGTCAGTGTAGATTTGAAAAATATTTGTCTGTTTATGAATCTGAAGCCAGGATTTTATTTGGTAGTGGTGGTTTTATTTCAAAAGAGGCTACAAATCATTGTCTAGGTAATTTATTAAAGTCAGATGATTCATTTGATGGAATAAATAAAATGTGCCAAATTTTGAGCTAACTTTCATCTTATGGAACACTGTTGAAGAATGGACAGCATGTGGACATATGGATGGGAAAAGAAATAGTATATTTCAACACTTTTCAGCTACAGAGATTGCAGATATTGATTAGTCCTCAAATTGGCACACTACTTTTCTTACTAAGGTAGAGGAATGTCTATTTTAATCACTATCACATGGGTAGAATAATGGTGGCATGTGTCTTTGGTCTTGACCCAAATGCAGCATGTTTTGGCATCAAGATTCATTAATTAAAAGACTATTCAATGACAAATAAACTAACAGCACTTCACATTAAGCTGAATTACAATACCCAAACACTTTATTGTATTTCTGCCAGTTCCAGTAACTATATAATTGTGTCTTCATTCTGACATCCTTCCATTGATATCATAGATGCATTGTGGCATCTGATTCTAAAATCTACTCAACAATTTGCTATGCTGAAAATAAAAGAGTACCAAGTGGAGAAAACTTTGGCGGTAAATGCAAGGTGAATATTACTGAAAAATAGAACACATGCATCTGTTGCCTCCACACAAAAAATTAGCACGTAAAATCAGCACAGGCAAGAGGGCTATGTCTGTGGTTCTCAATGTATTTCATAATATCTTCACATCACAAACCAACAATTTACAACATCCTCCCCAATCAGCCAATCATCCTTAGCCAAAAGTCATGCCTTCAGGCCTTCTCTTCTTCGCCTTGCACTTTCAATACATTATTTTTTTTACCACACTGCAATTGCCCATTTTAAATATCCAACAACAGCTCTCTGGACTGCTGTTGTCCCGCACTTTAGTCCAGGTGCTGTTGCCCTGGCTGTTTTTCTTGGCACAAGGTGTTGCCTGTGGTGTTCTAAAAATCTGTGCAGGAGTACCAGCTGCATGAGAGGCAAAGCAAATGACAGCAGGGGTTCTGTTCTCTTAGAGATGCCCAGCTGAGATGCCCAAAGACCAAAAAACACATTTTTTTTAGCTGCTGCCTGCTGCTACGTGTCCACCTTAACATCACTTTTGATTTGTTTT